GTGCTTTAGACCACTGAGCCGTCTCACCAGCCCAATTCAACCATTTCTTGAGGGAATGTAGTATTTATCTTTTTGTGACTGGCTATTTTCCTTAGCATGATGTTCTCCAGTACCATCCATGGTGTTGAAATTAAGGCCAAAAAGTATTTATTGTGTATATATGTGCCATATTTTCTCGTCTGTCCATTCATCTGCCAGGATAATTCCATAACTCACTAGTATTGTAAACAGTGCTGTATGGAGTATGATGTGGTAGTGTACGCCTTCCCGGTGTCCTGGGAAGCTTAGATAGGAGGATGCAGTTAAGCCAAGCTGGACATCTTAGTGACTTAGCAAGACGGTTTCAAAATAAAAATTAAGAGGGCTTGCGAGGTAGCTCAGTAAAAAGGCCCTGGGTTCCATCTCCATTACTGAAATTAAAAATACATGTTTTGGGTAAATGCCCAGAAATGAGAATTGCTACCTATGTTCACTGTTTTAATTCCAATAAAATCCATTCCAAATGTAAACAATGACAGTAATCACAATCTGCATAGCTAAAATCCTACCTTAAGATGTAAGTTATGCAATCCTGGGATAAAGTAATTGGCTGTAGTGGCTTCTCTGTGTGTATATGTGCGTGTGTGCTAGAAATCAAACTCGGGACCTTGCACTTGTCAGACAGGTGCTGTGCCCCTCTAATGGCTTCTTTCAATGTCCTGTGTAATTGGATTTTTAAAATATTTATATTTTGTTTCAGGGCTGGGGAGAGAGCTTAGTAATACAAAGGTTCCGTAGCATGTGTTCAGTTTCCAGAGTGAGGCTGAATGAGACCTTGCACTCAGTCTCCAGAACCAGGAAAAAAAAAACCAGGGCATGGTGGTGCACATCCCAGCAGGATGGGGGCTGAGGCAGGTGGCTTGCCACAAAGTGCAAGGCCAGCCTAAACTGCATAGTGAGACCCTGTCTCCAAACAAGACACAACAGGGAAAAAAAGAGATTTTTTTTTTTTTTTTTCTGTGACTAAGGACTTAAAAATGACACATTTTTATTCTTAGGGGGAAAATCTGGCTTATATATATGTGGAATGCAGTAGGAATGAGTTTACTTTTCCAGACCCCCAAAAATCAGAGGCAGTGAAAGGCTTGAATCCGTAGTCTTGCAAGAGTGGTTGGTGCCCATACACATAGGCACCCCGCATTGAGAAGCTGTGTGCTTTTATTCCTACCTCCCAGGAATCTCTCCCTTGATCTCCCATGGCCTGGGATCAGGGGTTCATTCTCTGTCCTGAACTGTCTATCCCAGCCTGCATCTGATAACCCCACTTTACTACTCCTGTTCCTTCTTATAGTTATTTATGGCCTTATGACTTCTCAAGACCAGGACCTGTAAGTGAGGAAAACTTGTTTAGCAGTTATCTCTTAGTACCTTCTCTCTGCTATGAGTCATTTTATAATCTGTATTTATATGATCCAGCTAGTTCTGCGAATAGGGGCTTATTAGAGTGGTTAAGAAATATGGGCCCATTAAAAAATTTTTATCTCTTATAATGTGGAATTAAAGTAGTAACAAAAGCTGGCTGTGATGGCATATGCCTGTAATCTTAGCACTCCGGAGGCTGAGGCAGGGGAATTGCTGCGAGTTCGAGGCTAGCTTAGGCTACAAAGTGAGTTCAAGGACAGCCTGAACAGCATAGTGAAATCGTGCCTCAAAAAGACAAAAATACAATAGTAACAATACAATGGCAGATGTAGGAATCAGGTAGCCACAGATGATTGCTGTAAATTTGGAAATATAACTGAAAGAATATTAAAACTATCTTTGTCTTAACCTAGGAAAGTTGAAACCATGGGGGCAATCTAAAGAAAATAATTCTCTGAATGAACATGTGAGCAGAGTAAGTTTCCATAAGAAAACTTACAAACAACCTCCTATCCAGACCAGGTAAGGACACACTCATCCACTGTGTAATTTTTCTGTTTTAAAAGGGTAATATGCAGAATCGATGCTTAAGGGCAGAATCTTAGTGACAGTGAGGTTCCAGGAGGTTAGAAGTGTAATGTCTTAGTCCATTTTGTGTTGCTATGAAAAAATAAGGACTTTATGAAGAAACAGATTGATGAGTTCAATCCCTAGTTCCACCAATAAAGAAAAAAGAAACAGATTGATCTTGGCTCCCAGTTCTGGACCCCACAGTTGGTGCTGTGTCTTTATGTGGTAGACGGCACCCTGCAGGGTGAGCATTTTCAAGAGTGGGGTGGCATGTGAGGAAGCGGCCACACACATGGGTGGCCTCAGACAGCAGCCAGGAGCTGGACACTGGTCCCTCCCAGAACGATGCTGCTTGTGACCTAATGACATCTTTCTTCTTAAAGGTTTTCCCACTTCTCACTGGCACTCTTGTGGAACAAGTGTCCACAGCACATGAATCTTTAAGGGACAATTCATGTCTTCCTTTATAGAGCTTTCTACACATACAATGCCCAGGCCAGCACTGGACTCTAGTAAAAGTCAGTGGGTCTGAAGAGAGGCCAAATATCACTGTTTCTGAGGCACCACAGGTGACTGGGATGAGGCAGATTCGGGGCACTGGTCTTGCATGTGACCCTCCCAACCCTGGCATGCAAGTAGATGGCTCCTGGCTTACACCTGGCCTTCACCAAGGCCTTCATGCCAATGTTACTCTGTTAAGATAGGTAATTTGGTCCTGGGCTTTTTCTTTTTGCCTAATCTGATCCAGAAAAAAAAGTTAAGTAACCTAAGTGTCATTGTAGTTCCAGCACTTTTTCCAGACTCTGAGTGTGAGCTTGACTTCTAACTTTAACATCTAAGAGTAGATTTCTCACTTAAAATACATAGAGTATAGGATTTTAATTCACTCACCAA